AAAGAATATACATCATGTCCTCTTACAGCCAATTTGTGTTCTTGGATTCGGATTCGAAGGGGACACCCACTTCGACCACCGATGTAATGTTTATTGCAGTTCATGCATGCAATTTATTTTGTAAATGGTATTAATTTTATCTTCTTTTTCACTTGGCTGCTTTGGTGTCGCAAAATATCGAATGAAGTGATTGTGCTGGTTGGCTCACTGGCTGGCTTGTGTGCTATGTCGATTTCAAACGGTCTTGATATTCTAGCTGCTTTTCCAGAGATATGTTATCTTATATATAGTAGGATGAATTTTATTGTGGTCTTTGATGTTGGCTTGTTGTTGGTGTTATGACTCTAGTTTAAACACTTTTTGATGAAATTGTGAGGATATCCATTCTTTTTGAAGACGGTTAGTAGGTGGTATGTTTCCTCCATTCTCCTCAACACTGGAGTGCTACAGTGTGTTTGAACTCTTCTAAACAGTGTCTGCACACAGTTTCTTTTGTGGGTAATCAAGTTATTACTATTATACTTGAGCATTTGATCTGTGTGCGTTGATTTTCTATATACTTGTGTTTCTAAATTTCCTGTGTTAGTTCTCTTGATTAAGACATGTGAGAATGGAATTTTGTTGTCTAATTCTTCTTCTCTTGTGAATTTGATGTCTTCAAATATGTTGTTTATTAATTTGTGGGTATATTCCAAATCATTTCTTTCAACTATTACAAATGTGTCATCAACGTAACGTAAACATACTTTTGGTTTAATTATAGGTAGAGCTATTAATTGTAATCTTTGCGTAATCCTGATATGGGCGATCCCATTGGTGTTCCTTTTATCTCTTCGTATATTTGATTAGTGGAATGGAAGTATGTTGTAAGACATAATTCTATGAGTTCCATCCAAGTTGAACATTGCGCCGATTGCCCAACAAATGGTTCAATGGTCAACGAGTTCGTTTTCATAACTTGAAGGTCGTCGGTACAATCCCTGGTGTGGTTATGGATGTGTACTAAAGAAGAGTCATGGGACGAAACAGCTCTTCAGTGTCCTCTGGTTTTCATTTGTCTCTCCAACTGATGTTGGCTCATAACGAAAATCTAACAAGTGAGACTGAGTTTCTTTGATAACAGATTGCGGAATGCTCAGTACCTTTTTCGTAATAAACTACAGCTGCATGAAGGTGCCTATCACGGAAGTTAGCCATTTTCTTCATTGTATTCAGCAGCAATTCACAACCAAACGCATTGACACGGTATTTATTCTATAACATTATCGACTTGCTGTTGGAATTCGATGTTTTGGAATATGTTTGTAGAAAGAAATATCAGTCGGAAGTAGGGAGTAAATGTGCCCATTTTTGCGAATTTATATACATGCTTTAGAGAATGTCTTAACGTCGTCAGTATTACTAAAGGAACTATGTACTACTGACTGATTGAAATAAGTAGTCGCATACCACTCGTATCAGTCAACCAGTAGTGTTTGCTGTCCAACCAAATTGAGGTGATCTAAATACCTGACGGTCATGTCGCTCGTTTCGGGTCTATCTTACTAGCAGTATACTCGGTCCGACTCGGCTCGATTAGTCGAATCAGGTCAAATCACTCGATATCTGGCTAGTTACTTGGACGAACTGTTATTACCATAAAGCAAATTCACAAAATCTGCAATGCATACAGCTCATTTTCAAACAAGCGAAACATCCATCCGGCGTTTAGATCACCTCAATCTGGCTGGCTAACAAGCACTACCACTTGTTATGAGTAGTATATAACTACTCATTTCAGTCTGTCAGTAGTATATAGGGTTACGCAAATATGCTCGCTTTCTTGATTACTATTTATAGTATCAGATAGATCACAGTATGTGAGTTTCACTGATTTTCAGTACTTTTCAGTTGACACCACTTGGATGATAGAAATTTACCTCTTCAAGTGGATAACTGTCTTTCCTAGGAGATGAACATAATAACGACGCCTAAATGAAGTGTGTATTGAGAAAGCTACCGTTTCACTTTACTTGATATAACACAGAGTAATAAAGTATTAACGACCAGATCATGTTTATAACACGATTTATTGTCCATGAATATATCGATGTATTCCCATAACTTCCTAAGTTGGTTTATACAGTTTTTGTAATCCTCCTTGTTTTTTTAGTGTAAGTCTTCATATGTCCCGGAAAGGTGTTGCAATAAAGCAAAAGAAGGATTAAACAAACTGCATAAAGCAAATTATGAAGCCATGTGAATACATTGATATGAATATGAGCAAAGTATTGTGCTCGGAGGTTTATCCATTTATTAATACTGTGTCACTCTGTGTTATATGAAATAATCTTATCTAATTTGGAAATTTACATTCTACCACAGTACCGTTCCAACTACAGGCCACTAGGATGAGTATTTCAAAAGTGGAAACAGAAAGGCGGGATGAACCTTCCTCAAACTGATATCAGTGTGGAAATCCACTGTACTCAGCATAAACAAAAAAATTCTATTTTTCACCACCAATATTAAGTCAGTCACTTCTTCTATGTGGATCAGAAACTTGGCGCTCGCATCACGAAAAGAATTCCTAAAAGTCTGCTGCAGGCTCTCATCAACAATTGGTTTCGCCGGCTCCATGCTCTTCACTATGGTCAGTCAGAAAGAATTAGTAAAAAGAAACTCTAGGAATGAAGAAAATGGAGATGGATTGGACATACTCTGAGGACATCGTTGAATGACATAGCGCGACAGGCCATAGCTCGAATGGAACCTGAGTGAGAAACAACGAGTTAGGCGTCTTAGGATGATATGGAGGAGATACGAGCTAATGGGCATTAGTGTGGCCAGCTAAATAGGACAGCGAAGAATAAGAAGAAATGGAGAGGTGGGGTTAAAGCCCTGTATTCTATTTGGAGCCCAATGGAATAATAATATAATATAAAGTACCCAAATTCTATTCTCACATTCATGAAATCTACTTTACCAATGAGCTATATTCATATGAATACTTTTACTGAAAATCCAATCACTTAATTAATTATGACGGCAATGGATTGTGGTGAAGTAGTTTAACTTTCTTCTATATTGTATTAATTTGATTATACTTCACAGACTAAAGCAAAAATTTATGTACTGGCATATAAATGAGAAATTTCTTCATTCTTTGTTCTCCAAGTGGAACATAGGGCCTCAAGTTTCTAAGTTTCAGTAGCGGTGGTATTGTTATTTGCCTCACAAGCACAACCTATCCTCTTTTCGGCTGCATTCTTTTTGTTTCTTTAAGTTCCCCATGGAACATATGGCTTCAAGCTAGAACTTAGAAGCCTCGGTAGCAGTGATGTTTATTTTTACTGGATGGGGTTGCACGCCTCAAGTCCAACCTTCCCTCTTTACCAGTCTTATTACTGGCTTTGCGAGGTTTAGGAGTGCGTCGGCTGATGATTGAAACCCGAACCTTGTACATGGTCGGCGAGCATTCTAGAGCTGTGCTACTGACGCACTACCAAGTGGTAAATTAGGTGAGGTTTAAGAGTGTACCAGTTGGAAATCGAACCCGGAACGCCTATATGGCTAGCAAACATTCTACCATTGAGCCACAGAGGCTGAAATATTTAGTAACAGTAATTTTCGCTGTCTTCTAACCAAGTGAAAGTGATCAGTGAACCTCTTTCTTAAGTAGAAGGAAAGAGAAGAGGAGTTTCTAAACGCACCTTGAACAAATCAGATACCAGCAATATTTCTGTTATCATTAAGTGTAGAATAGTTCAGAAGAATTGCAGTATTTTATTGCCAAATTAAAATGGTACCAAATATCATCAACATTCCTATTTATTAATGTCAGTAAAAAGCTTGAGCAATTTGAATTTTTTTCCAGTTTTATTCCTTTACATTCCCAGTGGAACATAGGGTTCCAAACTAGAGGTTTGAAGTTTCGGTAACAGTGGTTTTTGTTTTTACGGGATGAAGTTCCTAGCCTTATGCCCAACCTTCCCTCTTTACCAGTCGTATTACTGGCTTAGCGAGGGAAAGAAGTACGTTGGCCAGGGATTGAACTCCATCCACATGCGTCGTTGGCGAGCGTTCTACCACTGAGCCACCGACACATATTGTGGATTACATCAAATAAATTATAATTACATTTCAATAGTTTACACACAATAGTATGTTCCCACTGAGGCTCAAACCCACCAATTAACTTCTAATTACATGCCCAGACATCATCGAAGCATCTGCACAAGAAGCCGACATGTCAACCTGAGACTGAGCACTTCGGTCCAATCAATCGACGGGAAAATCTAAAATTCAATTAAATTAATATGACCCGTTGCACAAGAGGTGACTCTCGTGGCCCAAGTGGTCTAGTGTATAGCGCTCTGGGGTTTGAAACTATGGGCACTGGGTTCGAGCCTCGGTGGGAACATCATCACTCACGCATTGGGGAATGCAGATGCATCCAGATGACGAGTCCCAAATAGGACGAAATGCGCATTCTGGATTCCACTATAATTTATTCCCATTTATCCTGATATTATAATTCCGAGTAGGAAAATATGTCACTGAACAAGAAATAAATAATTTTCAATCATAATGTTGTTTGCACTTCATTTATTTTATTCCTTCACCTTCTGAGTCGAACATCGGGCTTCAAGCTTCAGCTGTGAAATTTCAGTAGCAGTGGTTTTATTTTTACAGGGTGGGTTCACCAGCCTCACACCCAGCCTTCCCTCTTTGTCGGGTTTACAACCGGCTAAAGAAGATAAAGGTGCACACGGGCGGGGAATCTAATTCCGGACCACATGAGGCCTGGTTGTCGGTTATTCTACCTCTGAACCATTGAAGCACGTTTGCACCTCATGGACAGAGTTAATGGAAACCACAAATATTGTATACTGAATCCTTATCTATGCCTTCCAGTTACTTAACATTCAAAAAGAAACCATATTCACTAGAAATGTTTGTCATCAAAGCATGTATGCAAAAATAATCAAAAATACATTTAATCAATATCTTCAACCCACCTCATATAGCCCATGTGGTATAACAAGCCATAAATGTTTCCATTCTTCACGAAATCTTCGTCTACGATCTTTTTCACGCCAAGTTAAATATTTATAAGCTGCACCAGAAACTGTTGTACCTTTTTCTTTATCATTTGTATTACATCTAGAAGTATTGATTACTGTTCCATCTTCTTCTTGTTCTTTAGTCTGTGTGTTTGATTTTGAGTATGAAGATACAGACTCTGACGTCTTCATTTTATCCATTTTCGTATCTTTTCTCACTGATGTATTCATATTTTTATGAGAAGGATGTTTTGTTAACAGATATGTTTCACTTAGCAATTTACTCGTGGTATCGGTATTATAATTATTTGTCTCACTGCCAGTAGATTGGTCAGTGTCATTCAATTTGTTATAATTTGACTCATTGTTATCACCAATTTTTGTTCTTACGTACTTCGCATTATATTTTCCAGAAATATTTGAAGTACTTCTAGAATATTTACGTTTCAACGGACGCTCATCATCATTAGCTCCAGATTTCAAATTGTAATCTAAGCATTTAGGTATAACTCGTAAATTACACGACGCTGTCGAATTACTGCAGTCATTCTGATAGCTCTGAGGTTGAATTACACCATAATTATAATTTGATCTTGACAAAACAGATGAGGTAACCGATGTAAACGCTGAGGTTTTATATTCATGCGTCGGGGAATGCATAGAATAATCAACTGGATTACCAGCGGCACTTTTAGTCTTTTTTACATCAGGATCATATAATCGTGTCCAGCTTTTCTCATGATTATGAGAACTGATATCAGGTATTAATGAGGATAGCTTGAAACCATCGTGATTAACAGACATTGTTAATTTGAATTGAACTAAGAATCATGAAGGATACGGCGAAAACAGTCCAGTTTTTATCCCGTCTTTTCAGCTTTGTCGACAGAATGTTCCAGCTTAAAACAAAAATAAGTGAAAAATAACTTCAAAAGTGAAAATTCTGTGTACATTTAACAGAAATTTAGACTGGTAACTTCCTGTGACTGTACAAGCTATACATATTTCATTGTGTCCATTAGTAAACTAGGGAGTCACCTATCTTGAATCTTATATCAACAATAACAGTATCGATTCATGCTATTTATTATTAAAGAGATTGGTTAATAAGATGTGTGATATGATGACGTTGATTATTGATAACGTATTACATTGTCATATGTGTACGATTGTGACGATTGATTAGTGGCTACAGAGGTACATTTTAAAAGTGCTTTTTTATAATCAGTCACTCACAAAGAATATTCTGAAATGATCACAGTAAGAAACTTTAACCTCATGAGTTTTAACATCTTTAAAAATTAAAACTTGTTTCAGGATTTCATCATGAGCTGACATCAGTTAGAGAACCATTGGAAAACCAGCCGGGAGTACTGGACAGCTGTTTCGTCCTAGTTTGGGACTCTTCATCAGTACGCATCCACCACCAAGGTCGGAACCCAGGCGGGCTAGTAGACCATTAAGCCACTGGGACCCGATCCAATGGCCCATGAATTCTAACTTCTGCCAATTCACGACATGGCACGACCCCTGAAGAGTCCCAAGCACTAGGACGAAACAGCTGTCCAGTACTCCCAGCTGGTTTTCCAATGGTTCTCTAACTAATGTCAGCTCATGATGAAATCCTGAAACCAATCAAATCCCTACAAACTAACACTTAAAACTTGTTTCTTCATTGTTACCTTTTAAGGGAGTATTCATGATTAATTTAGTAGACAAAAGGATTGAGAGAAGAAATATTTGCTTTTCAGTTAAATCCTCATCTCTAGCTCTACTCTAATATATATATATATATAACATTTTTAGGAGACAGCGTACTACTGCTGCAATGAATACTGTTTTAATTCCATTCTTCACAGCCACTCGGATTTGACGTTCAAGAAATAAGGACAAACTACCTAATTTCACCTTCTCCATGTGTATCCACCAGTTTGACTTCTCGTGCACAGCTATTCACATTGGACATACAATTAGTCAGATTCACCGTTGTATTTCCAAACATCATTCTACATATTTAAGCAACAGAAAAACAAGATCTATTCGTAGCTGTGTTTTAGCACACCTTGTAGACAGTCAGTATAAAGTTGATGTTAATAAAGCATTTGAATTTATTTATCGTATTCCGACTTATATCAATTCTACTTTGCGAGTTCGTATCCTACATGCAGTTGAAGCCACCAATGTGTTCAGAAGAAATTCGTGCAGCCACTTTCCTTACCTTGGCCATCATTACATGAATGCAAAAACATGACTATTTCGCCCTACTCTTACACCTTTAAAAAATTATAATTGTCCAAATTACTTTATTTTTCCGAATTTCTTCATATTTAATCGCATAGTACGTAACCAACTTGAACACCCACTTATTCCTTAATTACTCTTTACTTTTTTCCAAAATTATGCATTATACAATCCACTTGTTGTAATCACTTCTACCCTTTAATTGTTTCTATTAATTTTCTTGGTTATTTATCACCTCCCTGACAAGTAGATACTGATTAATTATTGCTAACAAACTTATCGCCTCCAGATTGATAGAAAAAATTTGTATTTTATTAAAAAAGGAAATATATAAATCCAGAAATGAGGATCTAACTGAAAAGTAAATAATTCTCCTTTCAATCCTTTTGCCTTCTAAATGTCTAAATGTGGATTTTTCCCTACATATTCATGAATTGTTAATGTCATGCGATTAAAATACTTATAATTTCATTTTAAAATTTGGAAATTGATACCTTGACTTATCAAAAGACAGTCTGTACAAAAATCTAAGATGTTGGGAATCGAAATTATTATTTCTAGGTGGCATTTTCTGCTTCAAAGATTTCAGCAATATCCTAGTTATCATCATTGTCGATTTCAGACTTAAAATAGCAGTGCTTTCCTGTAGGATAGTTTATTAAGTTTAGTAAAGTAAATTTTTCATGGGTACAAAGAAAGTTGATTCCCTGGGGGAAGATATTCGAATAAAAAGATCTCTACCACATTGATGTACTTTCTAGGTCAGTTCGTATAGATTGCAAATATATATACTTCAGTTGTTGTTGCTGTTGTTCTTTCTGTAGGAATGAACTGCTTAGTTGTTCTCCTGTTAACGTAAGTAAACAGTTAAGCTGTTTAGGCTTATCCGGTTGGGACTGAAGACAAATACTCGCCGGTGACATAGGCTGGTGGTGGTCGCGTTAAAATCACAAAGTGGTAGGCATTAGAATTCATAAGACATTAAGTCGTATCCCACTGTCTGTGAATGATCTACGAGCTTACCTTTTAACCGGGAGGTCCTGGGCTCGACTCCTGGTGGTCGGTGAGTACTGCCGATGAGTCCCAAACTAGGATGAAACAGCTGTCCAGTTCTCCCTGGTTTTCAATGGCCCTCTAAATGAGATCAATCCGTGATCAACCTTGTAATAAACCAAATCCCTACAAACTTATCTCTGAAAATATAAAACTTTAGCAGCAATACGGAGACAGGTCTCAAGGACTAAGTGCAAGTTATTCAGTGGAAAGTCTTTTTATGAACGTTCAATCAGTATAATGAAAAAGAGGAAAGAGTCAGAAACTGGTGTATTTATTCTTAATAAAACACTGGGAAATTAAAATTCCCATTTTTATTAGTAGACAAAGTCCTACATGTTGGATAGTCTTATTAAGTCAATCTGAAGTGCGTTATTTGCTGGAAAGCTGACGAATTTCGGATTACTTCGGAAGTCAACAAACTGTATTTAAAAGGTGGGTGGTATCTCCAGACAGAACTTATAACTATTCCATTTTAAAAGTACATACCAATAAAATAAATTTAAATTATTTGATTTTTGTGTACTTATTGATGCGAAACTGACATTCAACTTCGGCGAAGAGAACTGACTAAGGTGTATAAAAACAACTTATCATCCCAAATACTCTTAGTGTGAAAGTAATGATGCATAAATAACTAAAAAATTTCGAGATTTCAAATTCACCCCGTGTACCTACAATATCATTATTATTCCTACGGGTTCCAAGTGGAAGATAGGGCTTCAACAGCTCATCTCCACTTCACCCTGTTCTCTGCAGTCCTCTCTTGCTAACCCCATGATTTCCTATAGGCTTTCATCACCTCTCCACACGATCTTATCCATCTCACCCTAGGACTACAGCCCAACTCGTCGTCTCCGATTCGGGTTCCACTCGAGCGATGGCCCAAAAGTCTCCTCAGCGTGTGTCCGATTCATCTCCTTCTTTTTTGACATATTTGGTCGGTTCCTTCCCAGAGTTCCTTGTTGCTAATTCTCTCTGGTCGGTCATCTAATCTTCAGTACGGGACCAGAGAAGGCAGTTGTTGTTAAAAGCCTGTGGCCTGTTGGAAAATGCTTTTTGTGACACGAGCGCCAAGTTTCTGACCCATATGGAAGCACTGACTGGCATAACATTCGTGTTGAAATCCTTAATTTGTTGTTTATACTGAGTTGAGCAGATTTTCAAACTCATTTGAGAGTGATGAATGTCTGCACTCCCTCTCCGATCCCCATCCGTGCTGTCTGTCTGTGGTTGAGACGATGCTGCCTAGATAAGTGGAGGAAATGACATCCTTCAAATTTCTTCCGTTGACTGTGGTGGCCACATGTTGTTTCTGGTTGGTTATTTTCATCACTTCCGTCTTCTCTATGTTCATTTGAAGTCCTATCTTTGGTGCTTCTTCTGTCAGTTTGTTGGTTTTCGCCTGTAAGTCTTCAAGATTTTGTGACATTAGATATATAAGTCGTCCTCGAAGTCCGGATCTTCTACACTCTTATTATCGGTCCAATGTATTCCTGTCTCTCGCTCTTGATGAGTTAAGAAAACTACTCTGCTCCCTAATCACAACGTCAACCATCATAATAACAATACCATGGGTAAACAAAAGATGAACTGCTGAAAAGGAGCTTTCATAGTCTCAGACAACAGTCAAAACAGTTGTGACCTATGCCGAATATGCGTTTTAAATGATTTCGACAAATCCTGAGAAGTTTGTAGGGTGAAAAAATAAAAAAAAGTCTCCACAAAGATGTCATGAATGCGTAAAAACAGTAAATTAGAAGAATTTTAGGGCTATAGCCTACCGTTAAATAAGAATTATGCAAAATTAGGAGTATATAGAAAAATGTCTCACTCAATTACTTGATTTTTACTTGAAAGATAATTTCTTTGGTAGTAATTTTGATGATAAATTAAGTTCAATTAAAGAGAGTAAATTAGTTCTAAGTGTCATTTTCTTTAATTTTCGCAATCACTTACTTGTAGTCTCTATTTTTTTCACTTTATTTTTTATTTATTTACCCAAAGTTTGAGAAAATACTCAACAAGCAACGGAATATATCCCATCTTCCCAGTCGAAAAAAGTAGCTAGAATTAAGAATGTTCCACACAACTATTCTTCTTCTCCCCTTCCCCATAGTTTTCCGTGTATTTCAGTCGACTTATATAATGTCAAATAATCAGTACTCAGGAAGTGCCAGCACCTAAACCATAAGTGTTACATGATCGCCAACAAATATGTAAGTTAACTGTCTACCGCTAAAAGGAGATAATAAATATATATGCTATTGGGTATTATTGTTTAGGGTGATAGTTATGTACCTTACCCTATTGTCCAGCAATGATATCACTCAACGCTACACAGGTCACTAAACTCCAATGTATTTACTGTATGTCAACTCATTTACCAGGTGAATTGACAGTCGTTGTTTCGATTTCTCATGGAATTATGTGCTTTTTTTCTTTTGAAGCGTCTCGGACCACTTTGAAACACTCATATAGTACTGTTTCTATCGGAAAAATTGTTTTGAAAATCCCCCCCTGAACTATCCTGTTACAATTGTGATAATTATTTGAATGTTTCAACTAACTTTGTAATCATAAGCCGTTTTCTCCTAGACTGTAT